AAAATTTGTTGTCTTGTGCAATTGTAGTCTCGTCTCCACTAAACACCTGAAATAAATTTCAATACTCGAGTTCAATTATTTGAGTATGAGTAGATTTTATTTGATATCTACCTCCGTTTAATTAGTACGACTTGAGTGTTGAAAGTTTAAGATGTCGAGGCCGTTCAATGAACTCAACATTTTGTGAAATAGTTGGAATGACAGTTTAGATAATATAATTTTTGGGAATTTAGGTATTTCTCTAGACCTTGAACAGGATGTTGTTTTATTGAAAAATGGCATGAATAGAAATAATACTCTCTCAATGTGACCTTGGGTTACCTCTTTGTTTGATTCTTTAGATGAAAATAAGGCGCTTCTAAGTATTTAAAGTCTGAGCAAAGCCTTCTCAGACCGATGGAAACTGAGTTTTCAAGCCTCTTTTTTGGGGAAGAAAAGGTGGAATCATTTGATACCCCCTACCTTTTTTTTTCCGAAAAGAAAAAGAAAAGGAGAAAACTAAAACGACGTAGAGATTGCCCTGGTTTGATTTTGATTATTTGAGAATCAATTCTCTCTCATACTTATTTTCAACCACATGTTCTCCAAAAAAATCATATCATGTTTATTGAGAACTTTTTCCTACTTTTATGGATACGTTTACCAAACAAATTCACTTCTCCAAAAATCTTTATCAATCAAGCAATTAGGTAAAAAACACGAGGATTGGAAAAAGGCCACATACTCTAAAAAAAAAAGATTTATCCGCTAATTATTACAATAATGAAGTATCTCTTACACGCTCTAACTCCCAAATACACCCCATGAAATATGTATATCATGTTAGACTTCAAAGGATTTTGATCTTCACCCAATCCCAATCTTACATACGAATTATATCTTATTCTATATATTTCACTAAGCGTGTCAAATGCACCCCTACAAAGTATGTATACCATGTTAGATTGCAAAGGTGTTTGATCTCCACTCACAACCCAATGTTACATTCAAATTGCACCTTATTTTGTATATTTCAATACGCTTATCACTTAGATCTTTTTGACGGCCCACCTCCTTTGTATTGTTCAATGTATATAAGTATTATGCTCAGTTGAACAAAAAAGAAACTAAAAATTTGTTCATTATTTCTTACGAAACTAGCCAATACGGCATACCGGAGTTGGGGGAAGAGGGCCATTCCCAATTTGTATAAACAATTGAAAGCTTTTTTGGTTTCCCCGACAACCTTAAAACATTGGAATTACTCACACATAAAACATCAAAATTCACCATGATTACAAACATTTGGTGTTTCCAGCAACAGATGACTATTTTAATCAATTGTCTTAAGGAATGATTATAAGTAATTAGTACCATATAAGTAAGTTTAGTGGGTGTTTGGTGAGGATTAAAATTAGATTTTTAGTAGATTATTATAGAAGTTTTTGAAATGTGTGGTTGAAAAGTTGTGGGACCTATGAAAGATGTGATTAATATTGATTGTTTGACTTTAATTTAGATTAAAATCCGATTTTAATCCAAAACAAATAGGCCTTAAAGTCGTAGTGTTTTTTTGTCTACATTTTGGCAGTGCTTCCTTTAATGGCTTTCAAAATTTCAACCCTAAGAATTACTCCTTTGTAGGCCACTAATATCGTTTAGTGTCTCCGACACATTGATTTGACCAATGCTAAATATTTAGGATCAAAGGCACCATAGGTTAGAGGTGTTGTTTGGTACCACTGAGAAGTCAAAATCTGAACATACATCTTGAAGGTTAACAAACATTATTAGTAATATTTAAATAATATACATATGGTATAGAGTGGTGAATGGTCATGAATTCAAGTCCTCTGCCACTAATTTACTGATATTCTACATATGTTAGGTTTTGATGGAAACGATGAATTTCGCTTGTATGTGAGTAGAGGCGTTTAAAACAATATTTAAATGATATGTATGAGATCTTATATATGAGCATAAATTGTTAGATCAAATGATTCAACATGATTAAGTTTAACATTAGGTTTGATGATAATGTCTCGAGAGAAATAAAGGAAGATTGTAATTTCGAAAAATCGAACTTTTAAGGTAATGATGGTAGAGGAGCACTCAAGGGTGTCAAATGTGGAATGTCCAAGGAGGCTCGGGCCATTCGTAAAGAGGCCCGGGATGGTCCATTCCCGGCTCAGGATTTCTCATGGGTCAAGCCAAACGTGGCTCGACTTGCTCGGTTCGTGCCAACACCCCTAGAAGCACTTCCAAGAGGGTTTGAAACAATATATTCATGGTCATAATAATTGGTTAAGCACCATTTTCCGGTCATCTTTTTAACTGTTGATGAAATAGTTTTACATATTTTCTATCACAAGGCAAAGACGATCATAAGAAGTATCATGCTATACTTCGAAGACGACTCTCTAATGCTCAAGTCTGGAAACGAAGTGACAAGAATACAAAGCAAAAATAGAAGTTGAAGACAACCAATAAATGACTTTTAACACTACCCAACAAAGGATGTACATTATTGATTGATACTTGGAATGAACTATTTGCCACTATAGATTGACTAACAAAAAGATGAAAACAATGAAAACCAAAAGCAAAACTTCAAATTACTGTGCTCTAAGCCATGCAAAATAAAATAATTCATCCCCCCCCCCCCCCTCACCCACCCACACACTATTGCTTATTTTTTTGATGTAACACACACATATAATAAAGTTGACTTCCATATTGTGGCTCAGAGGTAATGCATATCATCATCATTGTATCAGCTATTGGTTGGGTGGGGTGCACTACACCAACAATGTTAATGCACATTTCTGCTTATATAAGCTGCCCCTTTCCCCCATCAACCTACATGTACTAAAAAACATCCTTAATAGCAGTGAATACAAAACAAAGCCATGAATCTTACTATAAAGGCTTCTTTTCTTGTTTTTCTGTTACTATTTGGCTCCCTATCTACAGGTTTTTAAGCTAAAGACATTCTTGAAAAGTCTTTAATTTCAACATAGTCTTCATTGCTTAGTTCGTTGGATGAATATGATAAACATCAGCTCAGACATTTGCTTTTTTCTTGTTTGTAGGCATGGTCGACTGCTCCGGGATTCATGCAAAACCCGTTTTCATGAGTCACAAGGTAATTTGGCAATTAATTATATTTGCATTAATTCTATTATGTTGCTACCGTTTTATAACCCACACAAGAAAGCACTGATTATGAAATTTCACGCTGAGGTTGTCTAAAAATGAAAAACATGTTTGGTACGCAGTAGTTGACTCAATTGGATACTATAATATATAAGATAAAATTATTTTGTTTAATACTACCCAATACTTTAGTGTCTTTTTTGCTAAACAAGCCACGATAGTGTGTACCATCTGATGTTTACAATGAGCTATATAATGAACTCCTCCAAGATTGGGGAATGGGGTGAAAAAATAGAAGAAATGTAACTGTATCATAGCATTGTGATATAAGGTATGTGTCAACTCTCATCTCATGGTGAGACGAGGCAAGGCACTTGATGCAAGACGGAGCTAAAAAGTTACTTTTGATAGCAACTTTTTTGATACTTTTCGTGAGTTACTTGTGATGTTTAAATACGTCAAAAAGAGCAAGTCTTTCGTCTTCACTATCTTCTCATTCTCACTTTTTTCAAGCATAGCCAGATATGATTCAAGGGATTCTCAATGGACGCTTAGCTACCTTCTTAGGCAAATCGAAAGAATTTTTCACGCCAAGATTTGCTAACAATATTAACAAACAAATTACGCAATTCAACTGACCTTTTCTGCATCTTTTTTGAAGGGAGAAATGCAAGTGAATTCAAGAAAGCTCGTTGTACTTGATGCAGTGTTAGATTATGACTATGCAGGGCCAAATCCTAAGCATGATCCAAGAGGGAAAAAAGGTGGCGGTGGCAAAAATCCCTGAATCTGTTTGTCCAGTCTTCTAATCTCCTGCTGGAATACATAAAGATTTAGATCACAAATGACTACATCAGCTAATGAGTTTCTATCTATACAATAACACAGTCTCTCCCTCTCTAAATCTCTCTTCATGGCATTATACAGAAACCGCCAAAGTATTTTAGATGCTCTTATGTAAACTTTCTGTGGCTGGTCACCTTTGATATAACCTGGGAATGAATAAAATTTGTTGTTATTTTAAAACCAGAGCTTTATTAGTGTATGGACAACTATCTCTCGAGCACAGGTTTAGGTTCGGCCTCAGTGGAAATGGGATTTGAAATTTTGTAAGAATATCAATCTTGACTGTTAGTTGGGATAGCAATCTTAAGCACCTAATAAGTACTAACAGATAGAAGGCCTCGAAAATCTAAACTTTTGTGAAAGTACTAATGCAAGATTAATTAACCCTCTTAATAATTCTTGTGTTAACTCAAGATAAGTCTCTTTACAATTAAATCTTTCGACTTAAGTAGAAACTCAAAAAAAGTAAATTTCTTTCAAGTTTCAAACGATGCTTTCTTTCCCTCATTTCAAATTTGTTAATAAGTTTTCTCTCAATTTGAGTACCATAATTTGGTTTGAAGAACTGTTACGATCTTTCGACATTTTGTAGGTAATATGATCTTTCGAAACTCTGAAGCTAAAGCTTTTGTACACTTGATTATACATGACAACTAATAATTCAGTAGAACCCACAATTTATAATCACTTCAATTTTAATTTAAGAACTCCCAGAGATGGTCATAGATTGAATATATTGCAGTAATTGATAATAGTCATTCATACAGAGGAAACTAAAAGTCTTATATAAGCATATCTCGGTAGATATCAAGTATACAGGCAAAATATGAACAGAATTTTTGCAGCTAAAATTGGTCGAAAGATTTCGTGCAAAAAGCATTATATGCTAACAAATTTCTGCTCTTTTCCAAGATGATATATATACTTGAAGTATGCTTGAATGTACAAAGCATAGGACGCACATTCTTTTTAATTACATCTTATTGTATGTACATATAACTAGTCAAACTTCGAGTTCATTATGATAGCAGAGTTGACATCCATATTCCAAGTGACAGTATACTGACTGTAGCTAAAGCTTGTCCCAATTCATACACAAAATTTTGTTGCTCCATAGGTAAATTTTGCCAATCTGTTTGCCTGCACACATTTCAAATCCAAGAACAAACACGAAGTTGAAGAAAACAAGAGCGTCCTCATTTATTGAAGAAGTAAAAGTTTCACATGGAAGATGTACGTAGGCTAACGACGTGTATTGCCCTCAAACAAAAAATTGATGAATTGGGAGCATGATATGTTTGACTACATTAGACCCGTCTGTTGTCAATTCGACTTTATGTTTTAATGGGAAACATTAATCATGATACAACATAACTATGCCATGAACCATCCTTATCAAAACCTTTTTTGCTGGTCCTTTTCACTTTGGTTAAAGGGGAGACACATTTATTTATTTAAATTTAGTCTTTAACATGTCCTCTCATGTGTAGGTTGGATTCATTTTTTCATCAAAGGCCCAACACATGCACAATTTTCATAAATTTGTGCCGACAAGACTTGGAATTACCATGTAAAAACATCATCTTGACTTTAGGGGCAGGTGGATTATAGATACACTGAATCATCTTAATTGAAATAGACAATTTAGTCTTTCCAGCATTAACTTTATGAAACCATTCATTGGATTTGACAGGCACTAACCAAAATAAAACTAGGTTCATTAGCAGTACTAGCAAACATGGAAGTTCGATCAATAAAGAAAATGCGTACCCCAAATCAGCAATGACAATGCTGATGTTATCTTGCGAGCTTTGGTTCTGCAATATAAATTATTTGCAGGTTAGAATAGTAAGTGCAACTTAGACCCGGAAATGGAAAATATTAAGTCTCTGCAACAGTGCAACTTATTACCAGAGCCATCTGGGCAAGAGCTTCAGAAGCCATCTGTTAACAGAAGAAAATAAGTTAACTATGCCTTATTGGGAACCAAAGTACTAACCTGAGGCATGTAACTTACCTGAACATCTCCATGTTGTCTAAGTTGACTTCTTACAAAATTAACAGCATCGGAGCTGTAATACACGAAAGTATTTTTAGATTATTTACCGTCTATGAGGAAATAGTAGGCTATAGACAAGCTTTATTCATGAAAAATAAATTGCTCTATGTTGTAAAGGTAACCGACAGACCTGTTCATGTAATCCCACAAGCCATCTGATGCTAACACTATGAACTCAGTATCTGATCCTAAAGCTAGTTGAGAAACATCAGGAGAGGCAATAACCAAGTCTCCATTAAATTTTACCCTGACACAGTAAAAGGAAAGTTGAATTTTTTTCACCATAGAGGCCAAGGAATTTTACTTTCTGAATGGTTTATATATAGCAAAATCTCATCTCAGACTATTTATATATATTCTTACCGAGAAGCAAATTTTTCAGACCATCGGCCTTCCTCGATTCCCTTCTCCAGCATTCTTCGATTAAGAAAAACCGAGTTTAAAAATGAAAAAATAGTCAGAATTTTGAAAATTTACCAGGAAATAAAAAAATAAACCTACTCTATCTTTTTGGTCTTAAAACGAGCATCCCCAAAAGCACGGGATACTGAGATGTCTCCGCAAATTCTTCCATTATTAATCTGTAGACATAGGATGGTAAATTCATCAGCACTGCACAGAAACTATATTAGAGAACCCAAAGCAAAAAAGATTTAGGCTTCAAAGACATAACGCAAATGAATTTCGGCTAAAAATTGTAGCTAAGAATAGAAATAAACACCCATCCACCAGCTTCTCTGATTCTTCTGATTTCTTGAAGAGAAACTTTGTTATTTCCATAGGGTCGGTGAGAATTCGTCAAAACTTCTGCTTTACCAGATCGTGAGAGAGCCTGCAATATAGAAGCAAAATTGGGGCAATTTGTCTTTTATATCTAGAACAAAATACAAAATTTAACCCAGAAAATTAGTTATACACCATGCATTAGCCTTTTATATCTAGAACAAAATACGGCTTTTCAATGAAAATTAAACCCAGATGAGTAGTTATATACCACGCACGAATCACCAACATGTGAAATGAATAGCACATCGTTCCGAAGAAAAATAGCTGTAGCTGTCGAACCAGATTCAGTACCTTCCCCGCTAGTCTCCAACCTTCAAAAAATGAAACAGCATCTAAACCTTCAATATAATCATATATCATACAAAATCATTTCGAGACAATATTGAACTTCGATGACATATTTTGCTGATGCCAGTTAAAGTTACAACAGAAAGGAATATTGGATTACCATTTTAAGAGTTTTGCATCACAGCTTTCAAAGGCTTCTTCTAGTGCATCCTTAATTGCTTTGAAGTCCTTTCCATTCAACAGTAGACCTTGTAACACTGCAATGCATTCTTTATATAGTTCTTCCCTGCAGTAAATACGTTCAGTTATGTCTTCAATATTACACGATTACAATTGTTAAACTGCCATAATCAGTTGTCCACTCACATATTAGAACTTGAGGGGGGAATGGAAGGTCATGTATGAATATTCCTATAAATCTAAGTTCTCAATATGAAATGGATCTCCAGTTATTGCAGCTAATTGAAATAAACCCAGCAAGGATAATATCAGAATTTTAATTATAACCACTTGGATCTTAGCTGACATTAACTTACATTTCCGAAAAACTATCCATTAACAAGTAGTTGGTGGTAACTTCACAAAGCAAAATTCAGAAATGTCGATCCACCTCAACTAAAAGGTTATGTTGGTAGTGAGGGAACACATTTATTTACTCAAATTTAGTCTAACGCATCCCTTCACATGGAGTTCAGATCATTTTTTCCTGTTGAGGGCTGACACGTGTACAATTTTCATAAATGAGTGGCATTGTGACTCGTACTCAAATTTAGTCTTTAGCATAGCCCTTCATGTGGAATTCAAATCAGTTTTCTATTGAGGGTTGAACGTACCATTTTCATAAATGAGTGGTGCTGTAACTTTTACTCAAGATCTTTGTTTGCGTTCGTACCATGTTGAACAACCTCATCGGAAAGTTTAAGTTGTGTTAGTTGGAAACTTAATGTATTTATTTAAATTTAGTTGTCGTACCATGAGAATTTAACTAAGATCTTTGCCTACTTTGATATTATGTTGATGTAAAATGTTAAGCTAATAGATGGGAACAAATTGATTTACTCAATTTAGTCTTCAACAAGAAAATTTCGTCTCAACTTCGAAAAAGAAAAAATCGAAGTCTACCCACTTTAGTCCAATAACTTCTTAGATTTAAAGTAAAACCTAAATAGCTTCAAAATAACTGAATAAAATGTATGAAGGGGGCATCATTAACAAATAAGCACACGTCAAGATACTTACATAGCAAAGTCACATGCTTGAAATTGATGTAATTTTGACAAACCTGAGGAATTTAACAGAGGAGAATCCGGCATGCCCATCAAAAACCGCGGCAAAAGAAAACCCATTAAGATCATCAGATTGAACAATAACAATATCGTCTTCCATTTCTTCGCGAGCTCCTTGTAACTTAATCGAGCCCCATCTAATTCCCGATGCACTCGTCAATGAAGACGGTGCGTCTATTGCAATCGCGGAGCAACATCTTCCCTTTCCACCCTTAACTACGACCTCCTTTCTCGCAATCTTGTTATAGTCATAGTTGCAGTAAATCTTGTTCAGTAGAAATTTTTGAATCCGTGTACTGGACAAAGCCATAGGAGGGAATTGAAGCTTAGCACAGAGCTTCAGATGTACAAATAGGAAAACTGATTTCACTACCAGTGAACAAAAATTGCTTGGTTGAGGTTTAGTATAGGATAATAAGGAGGGGAAGACAGACCTCTAACTGATTTAACGGATTAGATTTCAAGATTCTGTCCAAGTGGCACATTACCATTGGAACTCGAATTATATCATTAAAAATATTAAAATTTATAGAAAAATTATTAACGGAGCTTGGTCAAGACAATAAAAGAATGAAATATAAGAACATATTTTTGCATAGAGGTATTTTTCTAAGAAGGACAAAATTTGGCCAGACAAAATGAATAAAAAAAGTGTGTATTTATTAATTTATATGGTCGTGTTAATTTCAAAATTTTAAGATATTCTATCTCTCTTACTCTTGATCCTCAATTTCCCCTATGACTTTGAGCCCCTCTTTTGCTCCTTGATGTCTCGACGGTCGACCCTTTCCATTCTCTCNTTTAGAATATGATTTCTTTTCTTTATTGATTAGAATAAAATTTCTAATTTCTTTTAGAACAGGATTTTAGTTTATTTCTTTTTAGAATTTAATTTACTTATGTGGGTGTTCGGTGGGGATTAAAATTAGATTTTTAGTAGATTGTGATAGAAGTTTTTAAAATGTGTGGTTGAAAAGATGTGAGACATATGAAAGATGTGGTTAATATTGATTGTTTGACTTCGACTTAGATTAAAATCAGATTAAAATCTGGCCAAAACAGGTATCTTGGGATACTTTAGATAATAAAGAATTTGTGTAGTTATTTTTTTCTAACACGGCAATGCAATTACAATGTGTTATAAAATAGAAATTTCTTGAATTTTGTCATGCATTACTCGAGAGGCGAAGCTAAGGGTATCTTGGGAGGGTCGAGCCCCCAAAGTTCTTTGTGTTTTTGTTGCTATTGATCTTTTCTATTCATATTTGAAAAAAAAAAAAGAAAAAAATTTAGCTTGTAGAATATAAATTGCAGGTAGTCTAATGATAAAGTTATTATTTTTTATTTATGAGATAAGGTTTCGAATGCTCCCGACTACAATCTTATGTTTTCCTCGTGGGAGATACACAAACTAATTTTTGGACGCGTAATATTGACAAGATGTACTTGGCACGTAACCTAATCGTTCATATAAAATGTTTTATCCGTTTTCAATTTCAATGACTTTATTGTTCACTTAAAAAAAAAAAAAAATTTGGAGGGAGAGAGAGAGAGAGAGCATCCTGCCATCCCTATGTCAAAAAAAAAAGGTTGAAATAAGCCAGATTCTTACCTAGAAGTGCTATTTGCGTTAATTTCTCAAAAATTTGAAGTTTAGCCCAATAGTTTGGTTGAGTCTGACAAATCAAATTTCAACTCTTCTTTGTGTAGTACAGCTCATTACACACAAAATTTAACCTGTAATCAGAAACGATGAATCAATAATCTAGAACAAAGATTGTGAATTTCAGAATCCGAGCTGCTCAACTTCAAATATTTGACTAAATGAATTCTTTAAATTTATAAGAATTAGTATTTTCTAATGAGGAACTCATCTGCCTAAGAACCCTAATTCAGTGAATGTAATTTTTTATTTGGTATTTGTTTAGACAATTCTGGATTTTGGGTTGATTTGAACACTTTTCAAACTCTCAAGGGACAAAATACAATGTGGAGATCGAGTTTCAGAAGGCTCTATCATGATTCGGACCAAACCCTCAACTTTAGGACCGGACCCCGCTACAACAATTCAGTTGTTGGCGGAGGAGGACTCAATTATGCTCCCAGTCACCACCGGCGCTCCTCTGCTGGAGGAGGTGGTGCTGAAGGAACCAGTTATAGGATTTTGTGTCAAGAAGTTAAAGTAGGAAGTGTGATTGGGAGGTCTGGGAGAGTAATTAATGCCATTGAGCGCACAGGGGCCAGGATCAATGTTCATGAGTTGATTCCGGGGGATGAAGAGAGGGTTATTGAGATTTTTGATAACCGAAGGCAGGACCTTTACAGAGGTGAACCAGAGTTTTACCCTACTCAGGAGGCATTGATCTTGATACATGACCGGATTTTGGAGATTGACGTGTGTAATGTAGGGTTTGGGGATCATGTAAACACAGAGTTTGAGCCTCAGGGCGGTGGTGGGAATGGTAACAGGGTGATAACAAGGCTGGTGGTGCCGCGAATGCACGTGGGGAGTTTGCTAGGGAGGGGAGGGACGATAATGGAACGAATGAAGATAGAGACTCATACCCATATCAGGGTTTTACCCACATATCCCCATTCGCCACGTTGTGTGGCAACATCGGAAGAGATTGTTCAGGTTTTGATCTGTCTTTCTCTATGGAGCTTTGAGTATTTATTAAGAGAACCTTTTAGTTCTATTACAGATAGGATATCATAGAGCTTATAAAATTTGTTGATGCAAATTGTTTGAATATTAATGCTAATCTTGTTTGGAAATGACAATTGTTGATCTCTATACAGTTGAGGGATATGATATGTAAACACGTATCATGAATCGTGAAGACTAAAATTACTGATAAACCGACAAAAAAGTTATTGAACTTCTACTTTCGAAGAAATTATAGCTTTTGAGTACTTCCTTAAATGTGCTTGTTACGTATTAAATGAAGCTTTCGTGCATCGTTGTCAATTGTATTATATATCCGAACGCATTGCTTCACACGTGTCTCTTCACTTTTGCATACTTTTTGTTACTTTTCCAAAAGCTTAAGATTAAGATTCATTTTGCAACAATGAGGATTTCTTTTATTACCCCATTTACCTCACCCGTCCGCCACCGTAAAAATCACTTCCAGTTCCTGTCCGACTTGCATGTGTTAAGCATTTCACCTGCACTCATCTTGAGCAAGGATCAAACTTTCCATGAGATTCATAGTTGCATTACAAATCATTCTTGATAAATTTTGTGGAGATTGTTGTACTTTGAGTGCACTTTTACGGACCAATGGACTTAAGAGATGCAGTTCTACTTTAAAAGTGGCTACATCTAGTTTTCCACAAGTGAATGATTGAACTTTTGATTTCTACAAGATCACACACCTAATTCACTATATTTGAAAATTCAACTATATGAATATTTTTTTCAGCCTCTGTTTTCGAAGGATATATAATTTTATTAATATAGCGAGGATTTTGTTCTCTTTTGCAGGTTGTTGGTGATAAGAATGCTGTGAAACATGCTATAGGAATAATATCCACGTGCTTGAGAGAGAGCCAACATCATTATGGAAACCATTTCCATAATCGGCTAAATTCACCTCTGCGTTTATCCCCTACCAATGATGCATTAATTCCACACACGAATAGTAGGGCAAGAAGATCATCTGTTGAAGGACCTAATCTTGGTTCAGAGTTCTCATCTGGTTCCAAGAGCAATATTACATTATCCCATTCATCTGGAGATGCCTATGAATCTGGACCTGCTCTAGCTCAAAATGCACACTCGTTTTCTGGTGAGGGCATAGTGTTTCGTATACTTTGCCCAGCTGACAAGGTTGATACTATTGCTGGAGAGTCAGATGGGATTGTTGATTTGCTTCGAAATAAAGTCGGTGTTGATGTTAAGGTTTCTGATCCAGTTGATGGCACAGATGAGCATGTAATTATTATTTCATCTGATGAGGTACATCTTCCTCTCTCTTGGCCCCTTTTTGTCTCCCATTCTTTCAAAACTCTTTTTCCTACATACTCATTTTCAACCACACATTCACACAATAAAATATTTCACACATAAATCCAAAACTTTTCCCTACTTTTTACCCCCACATTCTCCAAAAATTCACTATTCAAAACTAAGTTTTTCCCAAAAAAAAAAAAAATGGCCACCAAACAGGGGCTTAATTTTATCTGATCAGGTTTCTGCATTAAAGTTGAACCTTTTAAGTTTATGCTGCGGATTAAGCTGGTGTTTGGATTTTGTTTGTCCCAAAAGGTCATCTTAGCTATTTCACTTATATGTCTTTCAGGATCTTGATGATGCGATGTTTCCTGCTCAAGAAGCTTTGATGCATATTCAGACCTGTATTGTTGATATTGTTCAAGGAAAAGAAAATTTTATTATTACCCGTTTACTTCTGCAATCAGATGAAGCTGGATGCTTACAGTTAAAAGATGGAATGTTATCTGCGATGAGGAAAATAACAGGTGCAAACATACAGATCCTGCCTAAAGAAGACGTTCCACTAGGTATATCAGGGTCCTACGAGATTGTACAGGTTTGTCTCTTTATATGCTTGTAAATTCTAGAAGACGTGTTTCTGTTAGTGACATGCTAGTCTCAAAGGACTTGCTAAAGATATTTGATTGATGGTCCAAACCATGGGATTCCATAGCTGTGTGTCATATAAATTAATCCTACGGTTTCCTCTCTGATTGGGGTATGATTTACGGATAAGTGATAAAAAAATGATTGGACAGTAGTTTAATGTGGTCTTTATTGTTACATCATTTCATAATATAGAGAATCTATTAGTACCAATAAAAAACTCTCTTGTGGTGCGAGTGTAGCTTCCTTGGTTCTTGTTGTTCCCCTTCTCAAGCGCCTATTGCTCGAAATGATTTGGCCAAAGATCCTCTGAGAAGAGGTTCTTGGACCAATACAATTATGGCAATCTTTACGTTAATTTTCATATACAGATTGTTGGGAAGATTGCAGCAGCTCGAGAGTCTCTTGTTGAGGTAACATTGAGGGTACGTAGTTACATATCCTAGGAGTTGCTTAAAAAGGATCTAGCACCACCTTCTGTTTCATCTACTAGTCCTATGACGGGTATTGTGAAACCTGAGGCTGAGTCTAGAAAAAAAATAACTTCTCTAGAAACACATGCCGGAAACAATCTGGTCATTTCTATTAAGCAGAATATAACAACTGCAGAAGCGGCTCAGCAAGTGAAAGTAAGTAGATATGCATTCTATTTTTATTCATGAACACCCACGATTTTCTAGTTGTATCTTGACTGGTAGGACGGAATCCTCTGCTTGACCAGACCATTCCCCACAGCTTAGAAAATCCCTTTTTTTTGGATTTTTTGAGAGTTTCCACTTGATGCAGGACGTGAGGGGATTCAGGAATACAATAGTGAATCTAAATAACAGCAAGTTTCATGGAGATACACCGATTGCATTGAATAGGTAGGGAATCGCTGTTTGATTCCTGTCAGGGCGTTGCTCCATTCTAATTTTGTAAATTATTTACCGTGCCTTCTTTTTTTTTTCCAGTCTCTCAGTGCCAGCTGTCAATGAAAGTTTGCTGGAAGTTGTCATACCAACAAGTGTGGCATCTAAGCTTGTTGCAGAATCAAGCAACAAGTTCACTTTGATCAGTCATGTATGGCTTCTCCAGTTCGTCGTACTTTGATATCATTAACTAAGAGGTGGAAATAACTCTTTATCATGAATTTGCTGTAAACAGCTATCTGGAGCAGATGTTGAACTGATTGAAGATAGACCTGAGGTAACAGGGAAGATTGTTCAAATTACGGGGGATACTACAGAGCAAACCGAGAGAGCACACATCTTGCTTCAAGGATTTATTTCGAATGGTAAGTCTCTCTTAGCCCCCACAAGAACCATGAATACATTTGCATCTGTGTACAAAGTTCAATGAATATAGTTTTGTGCATTTATGTGATATCCCCTACTTATTCAGCAGCAGAAGATGGCCCAAAGGCGATATAGAGACCTGCATGGCCCCACATAAAGCAAGAGGGCATCTCGCAAATTTTAGTCCTTCAGATTACTGTATTCTACTCCACTATCCAGGCAGGCATGGACAGGTATTCCTGCTTTTCCATAAAAGCAAGCCTACAAGTAAGAATGTACTTAATGGAGCTAGTAGCCGTGTAGTAGTCCCTAAGAATGCTCATATGAGTTTCGTTTGCTTTACTAAACATGTTGGATTTTCTGAATAGCTCCGGGATTGGAGTTGTTTTCCCCTTTCTGCCTTTAGTCTTTCTTTTTTGGATTTAATATTTTTGGAATTACATTGTCGCGTTTGAAAGAAGTGACTAGCTCGATCCTTTGAAAGAAGACAGTTGAATCTTATGTGAGTTCTTTTAAGCTTGTTTGCTTTGCAGCCCTGTTAAACTAATGAGGTTGGGGAAAAAGGATACCAGGTGTGGTGGGTTGGAGTTGGGGGTGGATAACGTGGAATAAAATATGAGTTGATGAACATAAAGCTTTTTAAACGAACAATTTTGTAGCGATCTTTTTTACTTTGACGTTAACAAAGTTAACACTAATATTCAAACATCTTGCATCAAGAAACTTCGTAAGTTCTCCTAGTATCAATGTTTGAGCAAGTTAGATGTGGGAATGACAACGGAGCAGGCCTCTTATTCAAAAATAGTAATTTATTTATTTTTATATTATGATTTAATTTAAAATGTAACAATAAAATAATTCGACACGCCTTCGAAAATTTGAGACACGGACCATGTTCCTTATTCCCCAATTACCTAATCGCATGGGGTTTTCGGATCCATTAGGGGGCAGGGTGGCCTATTCGCAAATCTCCCTTTGGCCGAAGTTAAAACATAAACTCGAACTGTAACGGAATCTCTATCTAATATGCGACTTTCAAATCAAACTGCGGAAATCCAAAAACCCCAATTGCCGGAGTTCATATTTCCGTCGGACTCAATACGGCTCCAGAAGAACAATTCTAAAACCCAAGGCTCCTCAGTCCGCCATCGCCACAGCGGTCGCCACCACTTCCACCTCCGCTAGTCTTTGGTAATATTACTCTTCTTCATTTATTCAATTCTCTCATTTATCCTTGATCTCTATTGCATTGACTCTAACGACATTATATTTCTCCATTTGCCTTTTTTATTTTTGAATATTGAAGGTACATTCGAAATAGGAGTTTACATACACACACATATGGCTAATTTACAGTACGCAAAAAAATCCTCTGCCGGAGCTCTGGTGGAGGGCTGCACCACCCACTGTTATACGCTGCCCTGGGAGTTCGATATAGAAAGCTTGAAGTAATTCTCACAACGGTTGGTATCTAAAGTTTTAAAATTTTCAGTTTTATATGATTGACTTCCATTAGGTTTCAGAATATGTACTCTTGGTGTTTTTTTAGTTTACAGTGGCCAATTTTCATCTCATTAATAAACCTTATAAACTCAACTTTAGAGGAAGGCATAACTGCCCCTCACGACCTGTATAAGAACCTTGTTTCCCCATGAAAAGTGGACAGTGTCACTGTAATTCTTGCATTCAATGAAATCTTGCCCTAAAGATACTTGAGTAATGTAACCTTTGATATCTGATTCAACTAGAAAATGAAAAATATACGAACAGTGACTTTTCTTATCGTCTGTGAGTGAACCCCCTTAATCTGTCGTGATTGGCGGCCTATACTAGCAAACCATTCACATTATCAAGGAGAACCTAAAATCCTTCTTTTAAAGCTGTGCCAGTTTTGACCAAGAAAATGAATTATAAGTTTTCTAGAGGGAGAATCAAGCCATGAGTGAGGGATTTCATCTCTAAACCTCTGAACTTCTCATGTAACTCATCTTACCATGTTGTCTATTTCTACAACCCATTTTCAATAACATAGTATATGTTTTTTGAATCTGAAACTGCCTCATAATGTCTCGTGTGAATGTCAATACCAGTGTCCTCAAAGGGTATTAATTATCACATCAAAATGTGTATTCCTGCCATTGCAATAATATGCTTTATAATGGGCATGCATCTATGTAGTGCAGTAGCTTTCTCCATTTTTACTACAAATGTGTTAGTCTTATTGTTATTACTTTTGTTTAGACTATAGATAAGCTAGGAAAAGCTGGTGAATCGGTCAGGGTGGCACCAGGATATTTTCGGAACCATTTGATGCCCAAGTTGTTTGCCTTCCCGACTATTGATAAGTTTGCACGTCTCGTTAGTGAGCAGCGCAAGGTATTGAAGTTGCATTTGCTTGGATTTTTTTTTTTGAATCAGTTCATCAGTGTGCATAAGTTCTGGTGATTAACATTTTGGTTGCACATGATTGTGTAAAGCCCCTGTTTGGCCCCCATTATTTGGGATTTTTGATAGTTGAAAATTTTTGGAATAGTGATTGATGGGAGAATGTGTGGTAGAAAAGTAATGAAAAGTTTTAGATTTGAGAGTAATATTATTTTATTTGATGAATGTGTGGTTGTAATGAAGAGAGAGAAAAACTTAATGTAATGTAATTTAATTTGATAGGGGCCAAACAAGGGCTAAATAAATAATCCGTTGTAACATGACTATGGATTTATTTTTTTTAGCATTATTTTGGTTTATTTATCACGTAAATCTTATTGTTTGGAACGTATTTTATTTGGATTTGTTTCCTACGTGTTTTTATTTATTATTGGTAGAACCAAAATTTTCACGTTATGTTCTTTGACAGTTTATTTAATTATTGAATGAAATGTATTTAAGCTTTAAAAAATTTGGGTCGTTACAACAACAAACCTCTAGTTGAAGCAAAATTAGAAAGAATCTTATTTTACACTTAGCTCAAATATACTACATATAGATGCAATGTAAAAAATGAAGGAAACCGAAACCGAATTTGGAATAGATAGGCAAAGAGGTGAATGTATCTTAATTAATTACAAAGAATCTAATCATAACATTAATCAAATGTTGAACCATTACTCAAGAATTATATGGAAATACAACATATACATATTTATATGTATCTATATATAGTGGTGGACCCAACACAAAAGTTTAGCTCTGGCGGACGATAACCATTGACCGTCGACAATCAGTGATTTTAAGAGGAACAAAATGCACAATTAAAAAAAAAAAAAAAAGAACTTTCAGCCCAACCCAGGCAAAAGGCCCAATTACAAAACAAAAAAAAAATGGAAGTTTCAGGCTTTGAGTTTGGCCCAGGTAAAAGGCCCAATTACCAAACCAAAAAAAAAAAGAGGAACAGGAATGTGCATGTTTGTATATTATTATATTATAATTAAGTAAACATGACTTGCATATATTCCAAGTTAATCAAGAGTTATTTGTAAGGGATCGTGTCTGTCTGTCCAAAAAGTAGAAAATGAAATAAAGCTAACCTCAATGCCCCTGTATGGGGTTGATTAAATGGAAATTAAAATAAAAAAATGATCGTTCAGGCCAATATCTCACTATTTTACTCCACAAATTTCTAACTATATGTTGTACCCATAATTCACTATTTGCTCATATTCCAAATTGCCCTCAAAATGAATTCACTTTGTGGGCTTTGAATATTGCTGCCAAAAATGAAAAGGCCATAATGGATTCTTGGTTTTTTCATAAAATTGGCAGAACTTTGGCTATATTTTTCAAGCATCTCTCTTTCTCACGCAACCAGAACTGCAATTATCCTTCTCCCTCTATATAAACCTCTCCAATTCGATTCTCTCTCTTCAGTCCTCATCCTCCTTCTCTCATCTTTTTATGTAACATTTCTATGTTAACAATGGCGGGAACCCAACATAAATGCCAAATAGAAGAATCTCGTGAAGAAGAAGCAGAAGCCAGCAACGAAGCCAAACCATCACCTCTCCGGCTTCCCGCGCCAGTCTCTTTCTTCCCCAACAGGCCAATACTATTCCGGCAGAGCCCAACAGGCACTGTTGAGCCCATTCGCCGGGTGTTGGGTCCGCTGCTGGTCTTGAATAAAGTCCGAGACATATAGGCAAATTTAGGCTTACTCTGTTGGAAGTCCGTATCATCTAGTTATCCAATTCATTAGTTTCATATAACCCAAATAGTTAAAGCTTAGTGGCAAGCGGCCAGATATCTAATCTCACACTTTTAAGCTATCTTTCAGCATTCATCTCCAATCTATGACATCCGTTTCACGTGGCTCAACTCTTTGCTTACATATCAAACATTGAGTTGCTGTCTTTAATAAAATTAACCTACAGTCGACAATTATACTAACCAAAAGCCAAACATTTACAAACTATGAAATGTTTTATATAGACAAAGTAACTTTGGAGTGATCGGTAACAAGTTACATGAATAAGGAACATCAAACTTATTTCAAATAATAAATTCACACTCTATATTCACTAACCCACATTCTAAACTGTACTATATATGTGTCAACGGCACATGATAAAGCATTTGTAAGTGTTTCGCGCGTTTTACTCACTAACAATTAAAAAGGGATCAGACGATTGTGTAAGGGACAAACCGCTTGGAACAAAGTCTCAAAAAGGGTTAATGTAATTTAATTTGATGGGGGCCAAACAGGGGCAAAATTTGGAATCTGTCATGCGATTGATATTGAATTTTGGGATTAGAAATGCTAGGTGATTGATGCTGCTATATATAAATATGACAGGATTTGGTTGCATGAATATGGTGATAAAACTTTGTGTTATTGTCGATGTGAGCATATTCATGGTTTGCTGCCAGTAACTAGTTCTACAAATGCATCTCATAAATCTAATCTTGGTTAATTTGCTTGTTGAAACAAAATCACCATACTTTATCCTCTTTTCACGCGATTTACTCTTCTGGATTTAAGTCACACGCATAATGCAGCGAAAGCAGCATGTAAAGCTGAGAGAAAAGATTACTGAAAGATTAGCACATATGAGCTAATACTTGCTTTCCTGGAGTCACTCGAATATCCCTTTTTGCTCATTGAATTTTGTACTATCTATATATTATCCACAAGTACATCCAAATGTAATGTTTACTGGTCTTTTTAATGCATTTATTCAAATTATTTAGAGCTTAGAAATCTGTCAGATTGGCTACAAGCTTAAATTCAATTGATATCAATTAGATGGTATTTTATATAATCTTTATCCATCACTGTGGCGTCAGATGTACCAACCCAAGGATGTTGAAGAGGTTAAAGAAGTTTCAAAGACAGAGGAAGACCGGATGAAAGAATATCAGTTAGCAGCGAATCGCCTTGATAGTGCAAGGCTGGTCAGTATATCATAGTTGATTCTTTATGCAGCCAATATGAATATTGAAAGAGTTTTTGATTGAATTTGAAGTTCTCTCAGATTTCTTGTTGCTAGTTTTCTTTCTTTAATTTTTCTCCATCAAGATATTTCATTCAAGTTCCTTCGAAGTTATTTAAGATCAAGTTTATTGTTTTCTTATCTATATCACCTTCTCCATTTATAATCCAAATTGTTTCTGGAGTTTCCTGGAAAACCTCTTCTTGTCAGCTTTCATGATTTTTGTGGAAAGAAATTGCTTTTATGTTAATCACTTGAGAGGTACAATTTTTGCAGTGGTGTTCCTGCAAGCTAAAATCCTGCTGTCCGTGTTTTTTTTCCTTTTTTGGTCATGACTTGTATTTAGGGCCTTGAAGTAGCAACTAAAATTGACTATTCAAGAATGTTCCACATTTTCTTTTATGAAGTCAATTTATATTCTTTATATTCTGGAAGTAGATTTAATCAGTTGTTGGAAATATTATCAGAAAGCAGCCTTAAGGCACTAATCCATTTATTTTCATATATCTTACTTGAATTAAGCTATTTTGTAAAACTTCGTTTACACCTTGGTTGACAACATGATGACGTGGAAGTGTTTTAATGGTTGGATTAAATGTATGAAATGTGAAAGATGGCGTAAGATGGTGTCATGTCTAAAGTCGGTAAACAAAGGTGTAAATCAGGATGTACATGTAGCAAGATTGATCTTATTTTGTTCATTTTGCTGGTATTTTTTTTTAAAAGATCTCGTTCTTGAATCTTTCTTTCATTTGATACAAATTTCATCGGCACCATGAATTAATTCAATGTTTCCCTTTATTTTAGAGTCTAAGAAGGTTTATCATAGAAGGAAAGGGTAATGAATTGCGTCATCCCGTGACGAAAGAAGAAATATTAGCCGAGGTATGATTTTATTCTTTTACTTCTAACCAATAAAGAAGTGACGAGACTTTGTTTCTATATTGGGCATCTGATGCAGATGACATTTGATAATGAATCAGGTTACTAGGCAGCTTCAAGTGCACATTGAACCTGAAAATTTGCAATTGCCGACTCCTTTATCTTCTTTAGGAGAATACGAGGTGCCAATTCACCTACCGAAGTCCGTTCCTAATCCACAAGGAAAAGTTCAGTGGACTCTCAGCGTCAAAGTTAGGAAACGGTAAAGGGGACCTTAGCCATTCGAATGATTACGGCATTTTTTTCTTTTTTCTTTTTTTTTTTTTAACGCGTAGGATTAGAGAATAATTATAGCAGAGAAGTTATACGAGTTTTTTAACAGATTGATCATAATCATTTTGTATCTTTGACCATTGAAAGTTCAAATTGTTGTAATATATTGTGCCAAAAACTAGTATATAAATAGATTCTTGCTTATAAATATTAATGACGTGAAATTAAATAATTCATTTAATTTCACTTTTTATTTAACATATTATTTAGCACCACCTAAATTGAGGTTGTAATTCCAGTTGACTACTTTGTTATTCGGAGGTGCAAATTTGTTGGCAAACAAATAGATCAACTTGTAGATGTAGTTGTCTACATTAAGACAAGTGAGTCAGCCTTTTGTGTCATTTATTTGGTGATTATCCCTTCGCAGCCACATAAATCACAATGAATCTTTTGTCGTCGTCTAAAAAAAAAAAAATGAACTTAACGTAGCAACATTTTAATTTTTCAAACAAATAAATTATAACTTCATTAAATTGGATAAATGACAATTTAACAAAAAAAGTAAAGATTTTTTACATTATGGACAAGTTATGTAACAACTATAAAGAAAAGGATTAAAGATTAACTTACTACTACGAAATAGAATAAAAAAATCAATACGCAATTTTCTCCAATATCGAAGACGTCCCTGTGAAAGTGAACCAAAAAGTTCATATATTTAGCCACGTTTTCATGTGTTGGGCCTTTTCGATGTGGGGTCCTTGCAGGTTAAAAAAAATTCTTTTTCAACTTCTAGATTTAAGCCTAAGACTTTGTCTTACCCTTTTAGTTTTTGCCAAGTTATTGTTGGGTGGGGATTAAAATTATATTTTAATAAATTTTAATAAAATATGTAATTAAAAAGTTGTGAATCTTATAAAATATATAATTAAAATTTATTTTTAGGTTCTAGGTACGGATAAATTTTAATTAAAAAATTTAATTTTAAAATTTAAAATTATATTTAAATTAAAATTTTAATCCGTATAGGACCTAAATCTCTCCCTTGAAAGGCCTCGATTTCCTCTTTCTCAAACGCCAATTATGACTTTGACTTCCAGCTGCCTTTGCCGACCGTCCTCTATACACCATTCATAATCCGCCACGTCCTCAGCAACCGTCTAACTAGGTATTATTTTAAAATAATATTATTTTTGCCCCCAGATAGTAACTCAATTCAAGCGGTCAAATGGAATTAAATGAGTTCCACCTTTTATTTAGCTATCATCCAACGTAATCTAAATTGTGATTATAACCATAGCATTATTTATTATTTTATCAAATATTTTTTTCAAAGTTATAATTTTTGTTAAAGAAGTTGTTTTAATTTATTTACTAAAACGTAACTTTTTAAGTAAAATCAATTTAATTGAAATTATTTCCAACAAATAATATTAAACCCCTATTTGAGCCACATTAAAATTTTCATTTTCATTCTTCTACTCATTTTTAATCATACATTCTCCAATAAAATAATATTTTTCATCACATTAATAACTTTTTATTCAACTTTGAGGGATTGCTCAGTTGGTCACACCTTGTGTTTGCTCCCCAATAGCCATCAATTCGAGTCCCCTCGGAGCCATTGAGGTGAGTATCCGACCGTAAATTTCAGGGTCCCTTGAGATTAGTCGAGGTGCGTGCAATCTAGCCCGAACATCCACGATTATCAAAAAAAAAAAATCAATAACTTTTCATTATTTTTCAACCACACATTCTCCATCAATCTACTATTCCAAAATATATTTTTCAAAAATAATGTGGCTCAAACACACCCTAATCTTATCAAGTTTATAATAAGTGTGCATTCACTATTTCTATTTATTTAAGATCTATATATTTTTTACTTATTGATTTTTTGAAGCGAAAAATCAATGTCTTTATGTACAATGATTAACAAACAAAAAATAGCACACGCTGTATATACGACTGCGCGCATGTGTGTATATATACATACACACAGAAAACAAATCCTCTACCTCAGTTTTCTTCTCCATTCTGGAATCTTGAAATTTTCAATTCAGACAATACAACTCTCCAGCCTGTTCTTTCTAAAATTAAGAAAAAGCATTAAAAAAATGCCGTTCTGTAACGTAAGTTCGTATCAGAACAGAGATGGAGATGAATCAAACATCAATGGAACCAATATTTTCTACAGAACGTACGGTCATGGGCCGGTGAAAGTTCTTTTGATCATCGGTAACCCATTTTGATTTGATTTATTGGTTTTTATCCAAATATTTGAATCAGTTTAATGGGTTATCTTTTGATGGATTTTTTTGGATGAATGGTTAGGATTGGCTGGGACACACGATTCATGGGGTCCACAGATAAATGGTCTCGCTGGAACGGTGATTCCAAACGACGATGAGTCGACGGCCGACGATCGGAGCAATGAGAGTGACGAAGGTGATGGCGTTGAGGTCTGTGCGTTTGATAATCGGGGAATGGGTCGGAGCTCCGTTCCCATCAAAAAGTCCGAATATACGTGAGTGCCATTAAATTATAAGCTGCTTAATTTTGTGATTGGATTCTCTTTACAGCTTAAACTGTAGATAATTGTCGTTGTATTTGATGCATACATTGTATGTGCTAACACCCACACATTGATTAAATAGTGGAACAACGTTGATATTTTCGACAAGAAATTTCCTCTTTTTTTTCCTTTTTTTTTTTTTCCATTTTGGGTGCAATACTGTTGGACTTTTGTAAAATAAGTGATTTTAGCTTAAAAGAGATTATTATTGAAATTTGAACCCCTTTCACACTTGTGTCACGAGTAATATATTTATGTGGGTTCATAGAAAATAAAGTTTTCCAACTTGACAGCGCCTATTAAACAGCAATTAGGTTCATATTAGGTGAGAATTTGAACTTAAGAAATTCAAAGTAACTTGAAAATGAAGGTTTTCTTTAAGGTTTATGAACTGTCAAGAAATATTTAATGTTGATAAATTTCAAACAAAAAAATAATAATAAGAAGAAGACGACGTTAAAAACATTCACTTTTGTTATATTCGGTGAGTAGGCCGAAGAATATTGGGCATGATAGCCTTTCTGGAAGTTGACTATTGTATTATACTTAACCTTGTAATTTCTTGTAACTGAAAATATAATTCAGATTTTAATTGTTCCCAATTTTATTTTGTTTTACGAGGCAGGACAAGAATTATGGCAAAAGATGCAATAGCTCTAATGAATCACTTGGGTTGGAAAAAAGCCCATGTCTTTGGCCATTCAATGGGTGAGTTCTGTCTCTATGCTCATTGAACTTACTGATATTCATTCAACGTTTGGTTTTATGCTCATTACATAGTCGCTGCTTACTTAAAGAGACTACCTCATAGAAAAGGAGCACCTCCGGACTCCCAATATGCTGAAATGTTCCCTGTCTCGCCTTAGTTGTGACGCTTTATGGAGGAGCTCTATTTGGACCGAGCAACTTAAACTTTTGGTCCTTTATGCAGTTCTATGTATTATATATTCTTCTTAATAATTTCATTAGCGTTGTGGGAGTTAAAAACACTAAGGGGCTAACTACTAGAGGAGTGTCACGAGCAAAAAGTCAATTTTGTAATAGAAAAACACTATGACAGACAATGTGATAATTCTGATTCAAACCAAATAACATTTTTTTATCCAGAATTCGGTTTCTTTTTTAAACTGGGCCCCCTGAAATGATTCTCATAGGCTCAAAATGAAATTTAACCGAGGATTTAGAGTTGTATTATAAGTTATGTTCACACTTGAATACATGATCAAGTTCACGCTGCAGCAATCAATTTTGCTTTCATCACCTCTTACATCAAGTTTTATGCTTACCTGCTTTCCTTTTTCATGATGCAGGAGCTATGATTGCTTGTAAATTGGCTGCCATGGTGCCTGATAGAGTTTTGTCTCTAGCTTTGTTAAATGTAACTGGTGGAGGTTATGAATGTATACCAAAGGTATGAATCCTTTACGGAGCGCTGTGGATAATTTATGTGTAATAATGATGATAAAACTTCAACTTCGCTGAAATGTACAAGATTTACAAAATTGAATTATTAAATGGTAGAAAAAGCAAAAAAGGTAAATGAAGTGAACGGGGATATGATTAGTTTTGTAGTGGGTTCAATGTGTATGTGAACACTTTTTTTCCGGGTTCTTTAATATATATCATGGTGAAATTGAAATAATAGAAGATTATTAGAAGGGTTTGACATATTCCATTAGTTTTCTGTATTGTAAGTGGAACAGAAGAAAACTCAGCTTTCACTGAAGCTTTACGATGGAAGTAGTTGGAAATCTAATATTGTCTTTAAATGTACAATAAAAACTCGAAAGAGAAAAACAAAAAACTGCCATTCAAGGCTGAAATAATTCCCATCTCTGGAATATTGAAGCATGAAAGGAATTCCTAAATACGAAGCCGAAAATTGAGAGTTTTTATAAGCAACTGGAAACTAATTCAGATTCTATGTTTATTGGTTTCTTGATATCTGAATAGGTTCATTTTGTATTCCTTCTTCCTCTTTCATTTTACCCCTTTCTTTCTCTTCATGTCCATATTGCTAAAATCAGAACCCAAATGGTTCTATAAAAATGGAATCTGTATTGATTTTCTTCATGAACTTTGACTCTGCATATGGGTATTTCTGTTAGTAAATAAACGGGATAATTTTCCACTACGAAACTACTGAACTGCTGACAGGATAATTAACCTAACCTAATAGTATGCATGGCTTCTCTTTTTCTTCTCAGCTTGACCGTCAAACTTTGTCAATTGCAATTCGTTTCTTGAGGGCAAAAAGTCCTGAACAAAGGGCAGCTGTTGATTTAGATACCCACTACTCAAAGGAATATCTTGAAGAGTATGTTGGAGATGAGACGAGAAGATCAATATTATACCAAGTAAGAAATAGTAAGCCTAACTTTTCAACAGAAAGTCATAACATCATACTTCCTTTTCAATTTTATTTTTTTACTGGGGTTGAATAGAATAGTAAGTTCAAATANTTTAATTTTTTTTTTTTGTTTTTTTTTTTTAAATGGTTTATTTAATATTTTTTTTTTTTTTTTATTTTTTTTTTTTTTAATTGTTTTTTTTTTTTTTTTTTTGTTGGGGGAGCGGGCGGTAATACTGTAATTTATAGGGTAGTTTGATTGATTATAAATTTCACTGCTTAAACTCGGACGTAGAGTAGACTAAAAATTTGGGACAGTTTTTGAGAAGATAAAAAATTAAAACCTTGACTAATGTAGTGTCCAATCCGGTACTGCATACCTAATGTAGCTCAGAGTATGTTATGGATTCCTTTTCCGTATATAATGTTGATACCTGAGTATTTCAATGAAGTTTGCATTTATCTACTAGTGTAATATTCTACGTTTTAAAATTTTGCAGCAATATGTAGAAGGCATATCATCAACTGGTATGCAGTCAAAACATGGATTTGATGGTCAGATCAATGCATGCTGGACTCATAAAATGTCACGGTCTGAAATTGAGTCCATCCGTGTTTCCGGATTTCCTATATCCGTTATTCATGGCAGGTAACTGTAGCACAAAAATGCTAAATAATTCTCCCATTTGGTATCTGGACCCTACTAAGATTATGACCAAATATTTCTGATGCTGTAGATATGATGTCATCGCCCAATTAAACCATGCAAAAAAGCTTGCAGGAAAATTTTATCCTTCTGCAAGAATGGTTGAACTTCACGGAGGGCATCTTGTGAGCCACGAGAGAACCGAAGAGGTACCAACTGAGCATTCAAAAAACTGTTGCTCATTATATATCCACTCTGTACCATCAGTGCATTTCATAAATAATTCAAATACATGAATCAATGCTGGTGTCTCATCTGAAGAGATTTTCTTATGAAATTGCCCTATTAAAATTTCACAGATTGAAAGGAAGGGCATATCTGGCTAAACTTTTAAAGTTTACTTATTTAGTAAATAAGCAAGCTTTAAAATAAATAATTTTTTAAATTGGTTAAAGTTAGAAATAGTTTACTTGTTTTGACAGTAGGGTGAGATTTAGTGCGTGTTTGGGGTGGCTTATCTTAAAGATAAGCAATAACTGTGTGGCTTATTTTAATGTGGACCACTTACATTCAAAATAAGTCACACATTTGGAGTTTTATCTTTAACATAAGCCACCCAAACATGCCCTTACTTCCAAACGACTTTAAGATAAGCCACCTCAAATATGCCCTTACTTCCAAACTAACTTATTTCGTACTTACAAGTGACAAAAAAGTAGCATATTCAAACATGTCTGGAAACAATAAGTTAAATATAAGTCTTACTATTTTTTAAACTTGGCTAAACATGCTTGTCCCCTTGACTCTTAACAGAAATAGGATCTGCTGGTTATAAATTTAGCCCATGTTTGGTTCTCATTAAATTCCATTACATACATTAAATTTTTCTGTATCTTCATTACAATCCCACATTCATAAAATAAAATAATATTACACACAAATCTAAAACTTTTCACTACTTTTTCACCACACATTCTCCATTCATTACAACCACACATTCATCCAATAAAACAAGATTACGCACAAATCTAAAACTTTTCACTACTTTTTCACCACACAATCTCTCATCAATCACTATTCCAAAAAATTTCAACCATAAAAAATGCACAATAATGGAGGCCAAACAGGGGCTTAATTGGTGGGTGCTCTTTCCTTTTCATTTTTGCTTAACAATTCGTCGCAGATAATAGTCCACACAAAACCAAGTGCAGATGGTTGTGTCAGAAACTAATATACTGGAGAGTGAGAGGAATAGGATTAATATGCTAGACCACCTATCTCAATTCTTAAATCTTTTGTCAGATTTGAGTGAGTCGCAAGTTGCAGCTAGCACATAAAGATATTATACAATTTTACAGCGATGATTTATAGTTCTATGATAATTTTTTCTTCATTGAACAAAGATTTATAAGCTAATGCCAGAAAAGGATTGAACTAAAACTTATGACTTGAAGGGTCATATCCCTGTGATCATTTTCTGTTCATGCGATTTTAGATTACCGTTGATGCTACTAAAATTGTAATTATCATAAACTTTGTACTCGAGGATACTAATGTCACGATTATGGACTCATATACCTTTTGCAATGTAAAGGCTGCAAACTGTGTATAGCACACTGAGTGGATTATGGATTATTACAATGTAACAGATGATTGATAACGACTATTGTAGACTTTACACGTTATTTTGAAAAAAGGAAGAACACAATAAAAGAACTGTATTAATGTAGCAAATATTTTCAAGATTCATGAGTAATTTCAATACGATCTGCTATACCCAAGAATTGATTCAGCATTAGAGACATGAGTAATATATATTTAGAAAGACGGAAATTACTTCTTACCTTGCTTTTGTTGAAATTTCAGGTAAATGCAGCTCTTCTTGAGTTGATCAAGGCATCAAAGAGTAAGATAAGCCTACACGACTGGACAAATTTGCACAAGAAAAGTAAAGGTGAGTATTACTACTACAAAGTGAGTACTCAATAAAGCTTTATCCCATGCTCGAGGAACAAACACCTTAAAAGACCTGAAATTCTAATATTTTTCTCAACAAATCAAAAATGTTTCTAACAGTCGGTTTTTTTGTCAGTTTGTAAAGCTACCCAGATATCATTTTGCAAAACAAGCACTTTATCTTTCATGGTTGATGCTGTAGAAAAGCTACATCTTTTCCTATTGTACTTTTTTGGCCTCTTTGTATTGGCCTTTGAGCATGCAAGAAGAGCTGTGAGGAGTCTAAAACCCGTGAGAGTCGGATCTGCTCTTACATAAGTTAACATCAGCCGAGCATCTTCTACTGGTAATTCGCTATGTTGTCGCTTTCAGACAAGTTATCTCCTTTTAGTTAAGAGTTGAACTGATTCGTTTTAATTCTATTCACAGGGAATTCTCTTCTTTTTTATGACCTCTCAGTCGATGTGGCTCTCTTGTGTACAAGCATTGCTTGTAATTTAACTGTGTGTCTATCTGCTGTTGAGGTAAAAGGACACAGTCAACAATAAGGCAGTTTTGAAGTCGAGACGATAATCAAATAATTGTATAGCTTCTTCAAAAGCAGCAGAATGGATTGAGGGCAAAAGAGAAGGTTCAATGTTGGGGGACAAAGATGCAGTTAGAAGTGTCAAACCTAAAAGCACCTATCTTGTAACTTCTAATCCATTGGATATTTAACAATGCACTTCAGATTAATTTACATGGAACTTTCTAGTCCATATTATTTAGGATTAATCTAGTTGTACATAATCCTCTACATAATAGTGACGTGGCAATCATCCACTTATTGATGTGTAAGTGTGAAAGTTGAATTAAAGGCAGGATCACATGCCACGTGTAATTATGTGGATCATTTTGTGAATGGTTATGTACCTGTAGCATTACCCCTTCAAAAAACCAAGATGGGTGTTGACCTAGAAAGACTAGACTAAAACCACAAAAACCCCACCATCACAAACCAAATCACAACTACCGAAAATGTTCGCCACTCTTTTGCTTTGAAATCTGAAAAAGAACCGGGAAAACTCAAGTTCCAATTCAAAATCAATAAGACAACAAAACATTGATACTACGTCGTACGCCATTGCCCACGTCCCTATCTTGGAAGGATCTCTATATTTTTATCATTTTCTTCCTATTATAAAGCTAAAGTAGGATTAATCTAGTTGTACATAATCTTCTACATTATGGTTCACATAATGTTGATGTGGCAATCATCCACTTTTAGATGTGTAAGTGTGAAAGTTGAATTAAAGACAGGATCACATGCCACGTGTAATTATATGAACCATTATGTGAATGGTTATGTACATGTAGCATTACCCATTTATTTAATGCTCTTTATTTTGCTTTTTCATTTGCTGTTTTCGAGAAACATTTATAGATTTCTATTTTTACTTAACATAATTTTTTTAAAATGTTAATGATCAATCAATTTAAATATGATTTGAATAATTTAAGAATTAAAGTATTGAAATTTATGATTTATTAAAAAGTTCAAATAGAGTCTCCTGAAACTTATTTTTAATCACCGACTCTCTAAAATAGAGGGCATATTGTATTTAGAGAATATTTTGAACATGTTCTTATTCTTAAGGCATTGGACACAACTAAAGTCTATAACAAGCAAGATTATAACTTTTATTATTATTATTACTACTTTTTATTGATATTCAATATTCGGCACCAAACATACTAAGAGAGCAAATGACAGGTTACAAAATTGAAGTTACAAGATGAATAAGTAAGGAAAACTTTTCCCAAGTGAAAATTCAAATGAAAACGACACAAAAAATTTAAAGGTGTCAAAATACAAAAGTCGAGAACATATAAGGGCGTGTTTCTTTACTTACAAATAGTTAACACGCCTCTCTTATTAAATTATGTTTGGTTTTAACATTCATAACATTATTTGCAAGATTAAACTATTGAAAAGTAAAAGAACTTAAAATTCCATTAGCTGAGAATTGGTTCTCCTTCCAATCTATTAATTAATCATCCTCCTTTTGGTTGATTATTCATTTAGCTTTATATTAATCCTAAAATAAAATAAAATAAAATGATTAGGCAAAGTCCCATGCACAATATTTCAAAAAAAAAAAATAATAGCATACCTGACGAGTGAGAAACGCAGAAGTCCCATCGTCGTATTCTCGTCCATGATGCTCTAGCAAAATAAATGGGGTCTGTGTGTGTGTGTGTGTGAGCGAGACAGATGGTGAGCACAAAAGAAATCCGTTGGATCGATACTGACACGAACTTAAATCTAAAGCTCCGTGAGCCATGGCCATGGCAGATTCTTGAAGAAAGATAAATTCAGAGAGAAAGAAGGAACAGATTGAATACCAAATATAGCAGTTGTTTGGCCAATAGGGTAATATACCCCAAGAATATTCTAATATGCTTCTCCCAACAATTTCTCTCAAACAAAGCAAAGCAGTCAAATAATATCAAGCAAATATACACACAGTTAATGAAAGGGAATAATTCCCTTTCATTAACAATATGATTAAATAAACTAATTCTAGTGATTTGGCACCAAGAGTCAGTTAATTGCGTGAAGTCATTAGATTCTACCTCTTCGCTCTTTTTACTTAATCCAACATGATGTCACGGTATAATAATCATCATTTATTTACTAAAGCCAAATAAAGAGCGCAACGAGGAAATACCCGTGAATAGTCGGTTGAAAAGGCCAATATTCAAGTTTAGCCTTTGATCAATAAATAGCATTAAAAGAAAAAAAACCAAAACTTATTTGAAATTCCTGAAAGGGCAAAAATGCCCCTTTACACGTGAAAAGAGGAGAAAGAGAAACCGACCAAAAAAGAGGAGAAAAGAAAACTAACCAAAAAATTTCGGGCATAAACCAACAATTCAAGAGCGCGACTCGCTCCATCAATTTTCTGTATACGAAAAATATTTCTCTTTTTATTGAAAAATACAACCATACAATTATTAATAATTATTGTTATTTTGAGAAGGGGACAATTATTGTAACTTTTTTCTAAGAAAAAATAATTGAAGTTAAAATTACTGTAATTTTCTAGGCATGTTTTTTAACAAAATATAAGTAAAACATTAAACTATTCAAATTTTCATCTCAAAAACATTGCACGGCCAAATTTCCTCTTAATTTTTTTCTCCAAACAATAGGAAATAACGGGTTAGATATGTCCAACTTAACTAACAGTAGTTTGTCGACCAGTTTGACACAGAGATTTAAAATACGCTGAATTAGGCGGGATCATTTTAATAACAATGATTTTATTCAAATTAGGATCAATATTATTAAAGCTATATTTGGTATCAATTCTCATTTTCAACAGTAAATCAATTTGAATTCGATGCTCACTTGGTTAGGGTCGATATCGATTGAATTAGAGGCATTTTTACGTAAAAGAATATTTTATGTATTTTTCATAAATATAAGGCACTTCTAAAATTAGAAATATAATTTTTGTCCAAAAAAGAAGGAAAGAAAGAAAGAAGAAATAGAAATAGTATTTTTTTTTTTTTTTTACTGAGACTGAGACTCTGAGACGCCCCTCATGAGAAGGGGATTTTGTTTTGAACCCTAATTGGTCCCTTCTTACAATTGGCTTCAACTGTTGCTTCTGACGTTACAATGGACGCCGCAGCGAAATGGGACTTCAGCTGGTCTCTTTCCCTCTCTATATTCTCTCTGTGTGTTTGTATATGTATTTGTTAGTGGTGTATATTGTGGGCTTTATGGGATTTTTGTGTATTGATATATAATCAAGATTAAATGGAGAAAACAGAGCCTTCTTTTGGTGTTCTGAGATTTTTTACTTCAATTTTCCTTAATAATTTACTTGATTGGACATTTATATGTATTAACTGACTTAATTCATTGGAGTTTTGTTAATTCGATCTTAATGACTGTAAACAATAACGTGTAAATTAATATTCTTTTTTCTTTTTCTTTTTTTTTTCCCTTTTCTGAAATGGAAATTGAGTTTCTCTTATATCTAAAGGTAAAAAGGTATCAAAAGTATTAGAAATAGTGATTGTGGTTGCTAGAATCTCTATTGATGGCTTTGACGATTTTCTCTTTGGCTGCCAGAGCCCTAGAACAACAAAAAACGCTTAACATTATCCGAATGTGGAATGATTTTATCTCGTGATTAGATCACTGGATTTCCAGTTTAGATTTATGTCATCTGCCACAACCTTATACTTTCTAGAATTAAGCTGCAAACTGACAATTCATTCATGGTTGAAATGGATTCCTTTTGATACTATTTCCTTCTTCTTTTTTCCAGTAGGCGATTTGGATAAAAGAAAGCATTGGAACAATGGCAGTATTGAATGAGAGTTGGGACAAATAAATTAAATTAGAAAAATCAGCCTTTAATCCAGTTATATATGTTCTGACTTTACCATTGTGTATTGTATATGCATCTTCAATTCATCAAGTACTATAGTTTTTCTTTTTGCTAAAGTTATCCGTACTCCATGAATAACGGCCCAAGTCCAAGAAACATAGTATGATGGGTTTTTTATTAATCAAGAAATAGGATTGATCTGTTCATAAATCAATAGAAATAAGATACTTTCTTGAAATATCTATGGTGACTGGATTATATTCTAGGTGGAAAGATATCTAGATATACATTATTAATTTTAAGTATGCAAGTGAAGACATGATGAAATGATTTGAATGTCCTTAGGCATATGTAGATTCTTAAGAACTAAATTTTCGTTACCTAGTACACTTATGCTGTGTTACTATGTTTGTTAAGGTGGACTGGACATTACTAAATAAAATTAAGGATGAATATAAGTTAAAATCTTGTTCATTATATTGTTTAGTACTTCATGCCAAACTTGTACTTATTATATTGCCTGATATGATTGTCGTTAACTTAAAAAGTTGTTTGCAGTGACTTGGAAGTAGATTATGAGTCCAATGAAAAAGCTAGCATGGTTTATTCAGCATTGGTTGTTGATAAGGAGGTAACTATCATATGCTATCCATGATTCAAAGTTTGTGTTCAGTTCAATTCTGACTGAAATAATACTTGGATTTTGCCATACATAACAGTTGCAGCCGGACAAGGTGAAAAGGGAGATATCAGTCTCCAATGGGAAGCTTTCAGTGTCAGTACTATAAGATTTACCTCGGATTTATTTAAAAGTTCAACTTAAAATACGAGGCGAACACGTTAAGAAAACCAATTATACTTAAAGAACAAATACTCCAATATAGGCAGACCAAATTACTCTACCTTTCACCATTCTCTATACGTTACGTTTTTTTTTTTTCTTTTTCTTTTTGACAAATGTACTCTCATGTACAGGCATTTTGAGGCAGTTGAAGCAAGATTTCTTCGTGCATCATATAGTGCTTTTGTTGATGTTCTTACACTTGCAACCAAGACAATTGAAGAATTTGGTGAAGGGATTGAATTGTGACATGAACTTGACGTTATCAAGAATTGTGTCATTGCTTAAATTTATGCCTAGTATGTTTTTCTTGAATTTT